GTGTGCTCTGATTGGCCAGCTATCCAGTGCGTTGTGATTGGCCGAATACCTCAAGCATGTGACAGAAATGTTACGCCCCTCACCATACTGTGATGCCCTGTGTCCCGGCCGGAGCGACGAGACAAAAATATTAAAACCCATTAAAAACGAGGCATTTGTTGCATCCAGTGGGGACCTAATTACGGATTATAATTACTTATACTGTCTTTTTACGCGTTGCGTTGACCCTGGACTCTTTGCTATTGTGAACTGATTATTGATTAATTGTTGCCTGCCCTGACCTCATGCCGTCCCTGGATTCCGAGTTGTCTCATCTTTACTGTTGTGTTTGATGGTGATTAACCCTGCCTGTTCTACTACGTTTTCAATATAACAGCAAATGGATCCTCACTCTGTTGAAGCCTCGTTACAGAAGACTTCGCCAACACACAATCCAGCAGCTCTGGCTCATCTAACCACGGAATTATCCACTCAAGCGAACCAACTCGCTGTTCAGCAACACCAGCTGGCGCGACTAACGACACTGACGGAGGAGCTTGTTGATGCGCTTCGGAGTATACGTCTCTCACCTCCGGATCCAGCGCTTAGTCAGCCTAGCATTAACGCATCACCTCCTTCCGCTCCTTCCATTAACCCTCGCCTGGCTCTCCCAGATAAGTTCAGTAGCCCCTCACTGCAGAACAAAGATCCAGGGGGCGGGGTTGGATCCACATCTAGGGGGTGGAGATGGTAGGTTTAGGGGTGGAGATGGGTGGGTTTAGGGATCAGGGGATGGAGACGGGTGGGTTTAGGTATATGTAAGGTGGGAGGAGTTGGATCTGGATCCAACCTCGCCCCCTGGTTTTTGTGTTCTGCAGTGAGGACCATCTCTATAAGTTTGACGGAAATCCCATGAAGTGTAAAGGATTTTTGTTGCAATGTTCATTGTTTGTTAACCAACAACCAGCAATGAATAAATAATCAGTTCACAATATTAAAGAGTTCAGGGCAGGTGGCAGGCGATCATGGTGAGAATAAACAATCCAAAGGTAATCCACTGGTAGACAAGACACGGGAAGAAATGCTCAGAAATGCACACCGGGGTAATACAAGACTTCACAATGAGGGAGAGTCTGAGAGCTGTACAAATAGTCCACTAATGCAGGTCAGGTGCAAGTGCAATCAGAGCCAGGAACAGAGTTGGAAATGAAGTCTGAATTGGAGTTCAATACTCAGGGGAGAGCGCCCTCTGGTGGCGAGCAGGAGGCACTGTGGGAGTCTCGTTTGTGACAGTTATACTGATTATTGCATCATTATAGATTATTATAGATCAAGAAAATTCCCTTTCAAGGGAACTACGAACTGCGTCCTCTAGGGGTCGCTATGGGGCAATCTGCGTGCACTGCTTAGCGTTTTCCAATGAAAAAGCTCCACTCTCGTTTGTCTCTCTTTTTGAGGAAAGAGGGGCAGCCATCTGCTTCCCGCGGTTCAGGACCCGCCGCTGCTGAGGCACGGAGGAGAATGAGCTCATGAGCTGTTGGAAGTTATGGATTGTGCCACGGCGAGGTTAGACTTGCCGTGGAAGCGGGCCAAGAGAGTGGCGCCACGGGGTCGTCTCGATGAGCGTTATCTTTCTGACCATAGCCCCCTGTAGAAGAGACGCTGGCCAGCTATCTCTCTATGGGTGAGATGTCCTCTCTTAAAACTCCCTCCTTGCCATCTAAACCCCTTCCGGACACATCTCGCTTGAATCTCGCTTGGGCATACGCAGCAGCAGGTCAGGCTGTCGCTTCGTTGCACATGATGGCGCATGGCGGCTATGGTAGTGATGGAGAGACATCTGTGGGAGAACCTGGTAGATATCGGGAAGAAAGAGAGGGGATTTCTTCTCAATGCTCCGGTTTCGCCTTCCGAACTTTTTGGTACCTCCATTGAGACGGTGGTCGAGAAGTTCAGGGAGGCGAAGGCGCGCTCAGCGGCCTTCAAATACTTGAGTATCTACTCATTTCCTTCGGGGGTTTTATATCTGCCCTTATCTTCCCCTTCCTAATTCCCCTGTAACCACCATCTCTCCACCTGATGAGGTTAGGTGGGAACTTCCTGCATTACAGTCTCCTGTGCTGGACCTATGATGTTTTGATTGGTTCTATGGCTTCATAGTGACCACCTTACTCATGATCTGGACTAAAGGCTTCGGTCGCTTCCTGAACGTGGCGCGGGAACCATGGTGGGTGAGTACGATCCATTTCTAAATAACTGCTGGATTCAGAAACTGGGTGCTCGACTTGCAGTGTTTATTTCACTCGTCGATATGATGTCCAGACGGTATGATAGCATGGTTTCGGCTTCATGTTTCCTGGATCATGCGGCCAGGTCACAGGCTTCTGCGGGAGCCTTCTTGATCATGAGGCCCCCGGCACGGCACTGCAGAATTTCCTGGGCGTCCGGGCTGGGCTTATGCTTTCAGGCTGCCCTGTCTGGTATACCGTATCTAGGTCGCCCTGAGGGGCCTCCTGGTCACCAGGATATCCCCTCTTGCTGAGGCATCGAGCGGGAAGTATAGGTGACATTTGCGAGAACCTTCTTGTGTAATGCTGTCTCAGGCAGTGCTCCCTTCGCCTTAGAGGCTTGCATTTGAGCTTGCCTCTCCCGTATGGCTCAGTACTTCCGGGTATCTGTGAACAGATGCTTGGGAAGCTCTTAACCCTCTTAGCGCCAAAGTCGCAAAATTGCGACAAGACGTCATACTTAATAAAATAGACTGTAGTTCCTAATATGGTGTAATATCTCATTTGTATTACTGATCAAAAAGTAGGCTACTGTTCACATGCGTTTTACTACCATATAGTATAGTAATATGGCAATAATTTAGTACTTTCTCCTGTTTTATTGTTGGTTTCCTCGTTTCTGATCATTTGGAATGAGGATAAAAACACAAAAAAAAAACATGCAAATAAGTTCAAACAACCATTCACAAGACAAAAAAAAAAACATGCAAATAAGTTCAAACATCAGTTCAATATATATTATTTCCTGAATATTATGACATTCAAGAGGGCCGCCCCCTGATGACGTCGTAATATGCAAATTAGATTAGTATATTTACACCCCACATAAACTTTCGGTCATGCCCAACATTTTTTACAACTATACAAATATACAAATAAGGTAGTATATATACAGTAAATATACAAATACAAATTGATGTCAAAATCCAGCATTTTTCCAAAAAAACCCTGGCGCCTAAAGGGTTAAAGACTAATGAGAAGTTGTAGTGATGCAGGTTTAGTTATTCTAAATTGTGCCTATGTTGTTATGTGATTTGTGTTGTTATTTGTGACTATGTTTGTTTTTATGTAATTTTATTGTGATATTGTTAAGCACTTTGTGCAACCTGGTGTTGTATTAAACTGTGCTATATAAATAAAAAACAAACAAACAAACAGCCAACAACAGAGCAGCTATAATGTTTATGTCGCTGACACATATCACTAGCTGCTCTAGCGATGATATAAACATGGCAGACTGTGTGCAGCTCACTCAGGGCTGTGTCTATGCTAATAGGGCAGATTCTCACCAGTCGCGGGTGGGGCTTTGTCCCTACTGTGACATCACAGTAGGGGAAAATCAGGAACTTCACTTTTGGAGAGACTGTTTATGATTTACGGGGATTATAAATCTATGGTAAGTGCACACGCTAAGCTTTGTGCACTTTCTGAAATCCAAATGGTGGTGAGTGTGCACGCTGAACAATTTGCGCACTTTCTAAAATCCACATAGTGGTAAGTGGGCACGTTATACTTTGCACAATTTTCTGAAATCCTGTATGGTAAGGGTTACGGGCTATTAGCCTCATTCCCTTTCTCTGAGTTGGTTTAGACTCCGGTACCTTGGGCTCCACTCAACCAGTGTGTCTCTTGTTGACACACTTTTGAAGCATCGCTCCCCTCACCATTGAGGGTTATTGTGAGCATGGTGCTTTCTTGTAAGTGTGCACGTGAAGTCTTTGTACACTTTCTAAAATCCACACTGTGGTAAGTTCGCACGCTAGTACTTTGTGTTCTTTCTAAAATCCTGTATGTTGAGGGCTTCGCGCGACAGCTTCGTGCCTTTTCTTGAGCTGGTTAAGCCGCGGTTCCGCCTTGGGTACCACTCCACCTATGTATCCTCTGGATACCCACTTTTAACAGGGTGTTGCTACTAGGGGTCTGTTGAGACAGTTCCTTCAGCATATGCAGAGCAAGCGGTAGCCCCCTGTGTGACAGGCCAAGACTTAGTATGATTCTAGGCTCTTGGTCGTATTCCCTTAAAATAATATATTTTTTTCAATGTATGCTTCAGACACGGGTCACCACGAGGTGTTCCCCATAGCGACCCCTAGAACACGCAGTGTCTCGTTCCCTATTCAGGGAACCATGGTTACATACGTAACCTGAGACGGTTTTTTTTATACAAAAACTCTAGTAGTTGCATAGTTATTAAAATCAAATTCAAGTTTTTAAGACTATAAGCTACAAGCAAAACCGTTTTCATGTACTGGTGAGATTTTGGTGTATTTTGCTTCCATAACATGTCTTCATTCAGATTAGTGGAAGGAAAACATCCAAAATACATACTTAAATGTTTAGCTTCTTACACTTGATCTATTATCGTCTGTAGATTTCAATTACAACACATATATATATATATATATATATAAAGGCTATTTTCTCAACTTGAGTTTGTTTCTCCACTTCAGCAGCACATACATACACCAAACTTAGCCGTTTTCTTCCTCTCTATATTCTGAAGATTTTACTGAGGGGTTTGTTGATATATCATTCACATGAGTTTTTATAATATTTTATTCCTAAAAACATGGTGAAAATGTATTTGTTTTCTGTCTGTTGACAGTATTTTCTGATTTATGGAGTGATAAAAAGAGAAATCCAAAATCCCATCTGTAAAAACTTTTAACTCTAATATGTCAATAAAATTAACAAGAATTTTTAACCTGGTTTTATACAATGTTCAGATTTACAATCTGGAAATGTATGCAAATTACATTTGAAAAACATTTGTCTTAATGTACTGTGATTAATAAACTGGGGAAGTATGGTGAAATCTATCAATTTTCTTTTTTTTTTAATCCTGTAGTGTCTTGACTTAAGATCATTGAGGAATAAAATGTAACTACAAATACCAAACGAATAAAACTATAAAATAATATCTACCCATATTTTAAACTAAAACATTTAAGTTAATGTAAAACATATTGCAGTGATGTCCACTGATTGACATATTGGTTTCTGTGCCAATACTGAAATTACCAACTAATGTCAATCGATAATACTAAAATTGGTACAGAAACCAATGTGTCAGTCCATAAATAAAAGTGATGTCCACTGATCGTCCATTGGGTTGACATGTTGATTTCCATACCAATATTAAAAGTGGCTACAGAAAAAGATATGCCAATCAATAAATACTAAACTGTAGAACTCAGGATGTTGAGTCTTACCATCACTTTGGCAAAAAAGGGATACATCAAATTACAGGCTTGATCACACCAGTATCCAGTCGTCCTTAGATTTACACAGTATTGTTTTCCATTCAAATTGTTCGGCTGATCTAAATCCCATTGTATTTCATTGTGACATTGTAAGTCACACTTTCATCTTGCAAAGACCAGCGCCATGCATTCACATCGTCATACAGTCCAATCCAAATGTAAAATTGTAGTTTATCTCTCAACTTGTCCAGTTGGCTCCACTCTTCATTGGTCTGGACAGTGGCCAGGTCAGTGTAGTTCTGTTGGCAGTAATATTGAGCCTCGTCCCATGTTTTATACTCTTTGATCAGAATATACTCACGTGAGCCGCACAGAATGACTGACAGAAACCCTGTTTGGAAAAAAAAGGGTGTGGGGTTCATACAAAATCAGTACAAAAATCCAGTAATTCAGCGGTCAATAAAATGTGACTTACTGGCAAACTATCACATTCATCCACAAAAATACACTCACCTGAGAGCAAAAAGAAATGAATCAATCTTTGCTCCATTGCTGCTGAGATTAGCTTGGGTTAGTGAGGTCTTATCCATAGACTAGCTAAAAACGTATGGACCCTGTATTAAAATATAGCTGTGAACACACGCCCCTGTTGATTTGCGTACTGAAATCAGTATTGTCCTTATTCCTTGACCACAGCAGCATTAGTAATTCATGGTGTGAAGATTTGCTCAGCTAATGATGCACATCAAATGTGTTTACACAAATAAAGAGAGAATCAATCCAGAGAAAAGGAAGTTGTTTGCATGGGAAACCATGACATTCCTTGTTAGCGCACCACCTCCCATGCCGGAAATGTCTGTTCGAATCCCACTCAGAACAAGAACGAGGGGAGTAGAACCGGAGGAGTGACGTGCAGTTACAAGCGTGTTATTACCTACATGTGTCGCCAAGATAAATGTGAAAATACAAACATTCAAAAAAGCTGTTGTGTTTGAATGAAAGTCAATGGAGGGGAAGCCACCATTGAAGGGGTATCCACGAACAGTTAGTCATGACGGTTGTAAAACACTGAAAGTGATTCCTTGACATCGAGGCAATTACACAATGCCTTCTCCAATGACACTGCCCCTCCAAAGAAAAGATCTGCAATCACAAATGATCAAGCTGCTTCAAAACTGACCATGTATTTAGAAGGGAAATTATTTCAAGCAACACTTGTTAACAACACTTTCTATGCTTTTAAAATACTGAGAATAAAATATTGGCTCCATCACTGTCCAGATCAAAACAGTACGTTGTAGTGGACAGAGATGCACCATTTATGGAAAACTAGTCAAGAGCAGGTGTGAACAAACAACACACACACAATACTTTTCAGCTTTTGGTCAACTTTCAGCTGTTTTGCATTTTTTATGTAAAAACAGCATCATTAAAGGTTAATGAGTTCATAGCTATTCATCATTTGCTCAACTAACGATGCACAACAAATGCATTTACACAAATACAGAAGACTTATTGCAGAGGACGAATGGAAACATTTGCATGGGAAAGCGTTTGTTCAGGAAAGGCATTCGAGTGGGCATTATTTAAATATTTTACTCATGACAAGACTCAAAAGAAATAGTTTCAAAACAGAAATGACTTTATCACAAAATAATTGCTTTAAAATTTTGAAAGAACATCAAAGAGTATTATCTGAATTGTGAGATCAGTACAGAGAGCCATGAATGTGCAAACACATCTTTATACTCTGCACATGAGAATCCATTCACCGCTCTGGCTGATAAACAAGAACACAGACACAAAAAAAGTGTAAATACACACAAAAGTTCCTGCACAAAACATTGTAGAAAAAAAAAATCAACATAACTCATATTTAAATTTGAATATTCATGACTGCCTGTTAAGCATCACACAGTTTTCTGCTAATGACTAATGGAAATGATTATGAAAGTAAGTGTACTTTTGTTAAGGTTATCTGTCAGGTAAACTAAAGATATCATCAATTATGTTTTTCTTACAATTTAAAAGCAATATGTAAATTCACGACCAGTCATTTATTTTTAGCTAATTACATAAAGCCAATGAACCAGAAGGACAATTGACAAAGTTTAAAAATGAAACCATTAAAGCGCAATTTGCATAGATCATTTTATTTTGCATTGTTTATAGACATAATCTGTGTTTTTTGTTGTCCAGGCAAACTATAAAAAATAACAGCGAACGAAACTTTCTTTGTAGACAATGTCAATGTACTATGAATAAACTTTCAGCTCTTGACATAATTAAGCGAAACTCCAAGGCCAGCATGACAGATCTTCAGTCCATAACTGTAATGTGTCCAATCGGGCTCATGCCTCTATCATGTAAATTTAGCACACATATTTAAAGCTGCTATTGAGGCCTTCAAAAAGAGACGGGTAAAGCTATGAACATATTAACTTGAAACAACATCTTAAAAACACAACACTAAAGAAACAGACCATCAGTTAAAATATCATGATGTCAAGACCATTGTCACGAATCTGGTCTATAAACTTCCGTTCACTCACCACCAGAGGTCACCTGCTGTGTTTCCTGATTTCTTGGTTTCTGATTCTTGCCCGCGTATCTTGGATTTACCTTTTTCCTTGCCATTTCGGACTGTGTTTGCCCCTCGCCTGGACTATTGCTCTCGTTTATGGATTACCTCTCTTGTCAAGCCCTCTGGATAACGTTCGCTGTCGTCTGACTCAAGCCCGTTTTGGATTGCTCTTTTGTCTTGCCTGTGCCATACCCGTTTGCTGTTGTTCGACCCTGCCTGTGTTTTATGACCATGTTTATTAATAAAAGCTTGCATATGGATCCGCATGCCTCTCGTCTCGTTGGCTCCGTTACAGAATACTTGGCCACACAAGGATTCAGCAGCTTTTCCAGTGGAAATGGACAATGGCTAGGTATGGACACTACAAGATTACTAGTAACCCTTAAACAAGGCACACGATCACTGGAGAGCTATATTCGAGAGTTTTTAACCATCGCTCACTATTCAAAGTTACCAGACATTATTTTGACAGAGTTTTTCTGTGATGGAATCAATCAACCTCTTCAGTCTAAGCTTAGACACGAGGGTCCGCGTTTGTCACTCAGCCAATTTTTGGATTATGCTTTGTTGACTGTTGGCTCTCTATTCACTGTGGGTGTCACGGTGGAACGCGACCCCGCACTCACTTGTGTAATGGTGGCCGCACTAGAGCACGTTCACAAAATGGCGGTGACAGCGGAGCCTGATCTCAAAATGGCGGAAACAACAGCGCCCCGTCACATCACAACTGATCATCCAGAGTCACGTCACATCACAGTTGATCATCCAGAGTCACATCACATCACAGCTGATCTTCCAGAGTCCCGTCACATCACAGCTGATCATCCAGAGTCTTGTCGCTTCCTCTCTGTTGCACCCAGATCTTCGAGGTCAGTTTTTCAGTCTCCCAGACTGGCATCCAGCATGGAGGATCCACCGCTGGTGTCAGCACGTGCAGCTGGTATCCCTAAACCAGCTATCTCAGACCTTTCTGTTCCTGAACTGATTCCCCTGTCTGTAGCGCTTCCCACATTGGGGATCGCCTTATGGTGTATTTGGGCTGCAAGTGGCGGCTGACGCTGCAGATCCTCCCGAGGTAGTGGCGCTTGCTGCTGTGTTCCCCGAGGCGATGGTGCGCTCTGCAGCTTCTCCAGAGATGGCGGCGTATGCTGCAGAACCTCCCGAGGCGGAGGTGCTCGCTTCAGCTCCTTGTGCGGTGGTGGCGCCCAGCAACGCCCTTTCAGCCTGTCATGTCGCGAAGGAACCATTGCTGAACTTTGTACCTGTCCTGTTAAGGAGAATACTAATGAACTCTCCCTGTTTCCTGATGGTACAGCTGTAGAACCTCCAGAGGTGGCGGCATCCACTGCAGAACCTCCAGAGGTGTCAGTGGTATCTGTGAACTCTCTGCCTGTCCTGTCACGGCTATGGAGGCCATCTGTGAACTCTCTGCCTTTCCTATCATGGCTATGGAGGCCGTCTGTGAACTCTCTGCCTGTCCTATTATGGCTATGGAGGCCATTTATGAACTTTCGTCCTGCTCCGAACTGGCCGAGGAGGCCATTTATGAACTCATGTCCTGCTCTGAGTCGGCCAAAGAGGCCATCTTAGAACTCCCAACCATGCCTGTAACAACCACAGAGACAGTACATGGACTTTATTTTTGCCCCGATTCAGCCAAGGGATTTCCCTGGGAGCTCTCAGCCCAGTCTGTTACGACTGAGGCCTTAAATGCACCTTTTCCCTGCTCTGTTAGCCCTGTTATGGCCATAGGGGCCATTAACAAACCTTTTGTCTGCCATGCTAGCCCTGTCACGAGCCCAGAGACCATTAATAAACTGTCTGTCTGTCTAAATCTTGCTAATGAATCTGTTCCTGAATCATATGCCAGTCCCGTTTCCCTCCATGAGTCTGATGTTGAACCATCTGTCTGTGCAGATTCTATTAATGTCTGTTTAGTTTCAGTCACTGAAGTGTCTCCCAGTCCAATTTCTGTTAATCCATCCAATTTTGAACTGTCTATCTGTCTGAAATCTGCTGTTGAGTGTGGTCTTGAGCTGTCGTTCTTGCCAGTTTCTATCAATAAGTCTAATTTTGAACAATCTGTCTGTCTGGTTGCAACTAATGAGTCTGATTCTGAGCCATCTGTCTGTTCAGTTTCAAACAATGAGCTTGAGTTTGAACATTCTGTCCATCCAATTCCAGCCAATGCAGTTGATTATGAACTGTCTGTCTGTCCAGTTTCAGCCAGTGAGCTTGTTAATGAACTGTCTGCCTGTTCAGTTGTCTCCAGGGAAACTATGGATGAACTTTTTGCCTTCCCTGCCTCAGCCTTTGATGCCATAGATGCACTGTCTGTCTTTTGTGTCTCAGTTTTCCCTAGGCCCCAGTCTCTGCCATGGGTCCCGGCTCCATCTGTTCCGCCCTGGTGGTCTTCTGCTCCGCCATGGAGGTTTTCTGTTCTACTCTGGTGGTCTTCTGCGCTGCCGTGGAGGTCTTCTGCTCTGACCTGGTGGTCTTCTGCTTCATCTGCTCCTCCGTGGTGGTCTCCTGCTCCGTCTGCTCCGGCCTGGTGGTCTTCTGTCTTGCTCTGGTGGTTTTCTGCTCCGCCGAGGAGGTCTTCTGCTCCGACCTGGTGGTCTTCTGCTCCACCGTGGGGACCTTCGGACCCGTCTGCTCTGCTGTGGTTGTCCTCAGCTCCATCTGCTTCGCCGGCTCTATCCTGGTT